AGGATTGAGGTTTCCGCATGGGTTATTCTGAACTGGGAGCGGTGTTGTGTTAAGTCGGCTCGCCGCAAAAGCAATACACCCCGCAGAACCAAAAGAACGGCATTGTCTGGTTCCGAAGTGCACCATCGACTGCCATTTTCTGGTCTGTGAGATCACTTGATTGCGGCTTCCAAAGTTGTCCTCTCTATAAAACGGGGCGGGGGGAATAAACCGGCTAGCCCCAAACTTCGGTGTCTCCGGCCATCGTCATTCAGATCTAGTCTTAGCGGCATTGCCATGGCAGACTTCTGTTTTGTGGCAGAAATTTAACTGCGTAGGGCAGATGTGGCCAGCAGGAAAAAATTTCCCGTCTCCTCAACGCTGAACCGTCATATGAGAGGGTAGGTGTTGTTAGTTGTGGTTAATAAAATTCATTAATAGTGGATAAACGGTGTTGAATTAGCTAAAAGCTACTTGTATGTAAGTACGACGATTCACGGCAAAATGAGCATATCTGAAGCGGGGACATCGTAACTGAATTGACTGATTTTACTACGATTACGACCTAGCACAATATTCCAATTCACCAATCAATAAGTACAGTCTGGTACAACATTACGATTAACCAATCAACAAATCGGAAATCCAATATGGCTCGATTCCTTACGATGCAACAAGGGGATTCTCACCAACTTTGTGTACCTAAAGCACTGCTGTCATCTTGCTAGCCATGTCATTCAAACCCTTTTTTGCTAATTAACGACCCACAAGTCCAAACTCCATTTCTGCAGTGCTGAATTTCGCGTGTGCCTAACGCGGCAATGGAGATTAGCGTATTTTTAAGTTCGCCTGCGGCCTGAACGTTCACACGTCTCTAGGGCTTACGTATTTTGATTTATGGATAGGGCCCATTACCTAGACGCACACCGGCAGCCTCCGTGGTCTGTTGTGTGGAAAACTGATTGCGTTTGAAAAAAAAGCAAACTATTTGTGTCGCGGTGGGGTTAATTTGCATGTACATAAGTCGCCTGGTCTGTGCGTCCCGACTCAGTGCATCTACCAATCTAACTTTCACACTAATTAGAATACCGTCTAGGAGTCAATTAGTGGTTCACATGGAGAGGCAACTTCGTTTGTTTATTTGGCCATTAAAATGACATTTAGCAACCTGCTGCGCACTTTTCCTTGTTTTATATTTCCCAAATCTTGTGAATCACCAGATGAAGAAGTGGAATGCGGAGGAGGTGCTTTTAATCCATACCTCGGTGCTTGTTCTGCAATTCACTTCAAAGTACGAGTTAAAGTAAGTGCAGTCTCCCGCCAGCGGATGGGGAAATTTTATCGAAGGCGTGAGAAATTTCACTCTAGACAAGTGCGCTGTTAAAGTCTACCGACAAAGTCTACCAACCAATGATTTTTTACGTGCATTATGAAGCATTCAACTAGCGGAAGAACGAAATCACTTTCTTATTAACAAAATTCTAGGCCGGCCTACTACGGAAACCCTGTTCATTACTGAATGTGGTTGCCCCAATATTATCATTTTCTGAAGTTTCCAAGCTTATTCAAACTATCATGTTCAAATCCCAAGCATGCATTAAAGGTGGTTTATTCTAGTGAAATCAGAATCCACAAGACTCGCTGCTTTTCACAAAATTTGAATGAAAAACACATTTCTCTTTGCATTTTATGTTCATGCACACTATTTTTTTGTATTTAAATCGGCCGCAACCTTCCTATTGGTCAATTCACCGATAAGTATTTTGTTCAAGTCAATTAAGGTCATATTCGCCCAATGACAGGATCTACTTGTCCTGGGAATGAGAGGTATCACATGAAACATAATACCTGCATGAAGTATAGTTGATGTGTGTAGCAAAGTTGTGTTACCTCCCTGTCACAGAGATTTGACAGCAGTACATTTTATAAATAGCTTATTTGAACGAAAATTTATTTATCAGAGTAAATTTGTGCTTGAGGTTGAGGGGGAAGGTTGATTTGGAAACGAAGGCCTCAAACACGATCTCTCTGAAACTATCTATGAGTTCCAACCTCCAAGGACTCAGCAGATGAGTGTAGGCCTTCTACGCCGGTGAGGAAGTCGTCGAGTGATGCATTCGCATTTCAAAGCGTATGAAGGATAGATAGGTCGCATACAAATCAAGTATGCCGGGGAGACCTTACCTCACATTTCATTGGATCCTCCAGCGGCAATGATGGAGAGACAGCGGCATCAAAATTCTTCAAAAAAGGTCCTCCTAAAAAGTAGTACGTCCAGTCACTTGACACTCCTGTTCAGCACCGACACCACCAAAATTCAAAATCAATACAACCAGACCAGGCACAAGCTGGTCGTGCGGTTAGTAAGCCGGAGTCAAAGTGAATGAGCCCATAGTTGGATCAATAAGTTATGAACTCTCGACCAATGATATTAACGCTCAACTGCTGTTTGAGCATCGATTGCCAGCACAGGTAAATCCCCTGGGTTAAACCGCGATAATGACGAAGACTACCATCATTTACATTTGTTGTGGGCCACAGCATGTGGTCCCGAACCATGCCGGGCCACTCAGTTTGATCTGACCTGCTTACGCTTCCCTGCTACCCACGCGGAAGAAGACCGGGAGGACGTGGACACAACCGTTTACTTCAGAGCTCAACCAAGTTGGCATCGTTGTGTGTAGTGGGTGGCGTTTTCGCGCGTGTATTTATACCTCGGATGTGCGATTATATAGATGTGGGGGAGTTGAGGATCCGCGCGACTGGCGACATGCTGCGAAAAGGGAAACCCTGTGTCGGGGGCCGGGGTGATCGGACTAGCGCATTACTCACACTTCACAGTCTTGTGACAAAACAGTAAACGCTTGGAGGACAGGCGGTGTAAACAATTAAAGAATAACAAAGACAACTGTGTGTTTTTCCTATTCATAATTGATATTACAACAGTAATTAGAGTACGCAGTAAGCGCATGCATCAAATATGGGTGCTCGTTGCTAGGATAAGGTTTAAACAGTGTTCCGAGGAAATCAGCACAGTAAAACAAGGCGTTACATAGAAATAACATGACAAATGTTGTAGGTAGTGATTACTTCACGCCGATTACAAGCGGTTTGTTAACATTTTTTCGTAAGTACCGATTGCAAGCTTATGATTTATGATAACAACCCTCCACACACACACACACACATTAGTCAAACCTCGCTCTCATTTGATGTCTTGAGTCAGACGCCTGTCCTATTTCGGTGCTAGCGCCGGCCTCTACACTGCCCAAGCAAAACTACATTTGACGCAAAGTCGTGTCGGAAATGGCGCATTCACCTGACGTAGAACACACCCACAACGTTGCAGCACTCCCTCATAGCCACTTTTATCCTGGTGGTGATTCCAAAACACAAAAAACGCGTACAATCCTACTGAATTCAGTGGACAAGACGTGTACGCGCGTGCGTGCGTGAGTGCGTTTTCGGCTGGGTGTTACCTTGTTTTTTTGTTGCAAATATTATTTCAGCACCGTAGCTGGAAACACAGATCACACAAAATGCTCACATGGAATAGTTAGGGGCATTTAAAATATCTTAAAAACACGGAATTCTATAACACGGAAAATCGAGAGAAACCAGAAAACTTGTTTGAATTTTGGCAGAGATAAGATTCTGTGATTTAAACAAAGTGTCGCATTTTAGGTTCATCAGAGTTGATGATCGATAACCACGCCAGACAATCCAGGCCTGTCTGATAGCGATTTCGAGCGCTGTTCAGACATTCGATTATTGATTTTTTCAGGACATTAAAATCCCACATTCACCAATTTTTTGACACTTGATTCTACTGTATTTTTAATATACAAGACATTAGGTATCGACGTTCGGACATACCCAAGAAACATGTTAAGTGCTGTCTGCAAGATGGAACAGCATCCTCCTGCAACATTACGTACACACCTCCGATGGCAACACCTCAGCCCGTTTCTCCCTCACATTAGGATCCACATGCTCCAATCATCTAATTGGTCAAGGAGAGACGTAGTATCAGCAAAAACACCTCACTTGCCTCTTTTACCAAGTTGTGAAGTGAGGCGGCAACTCAAACTACTGGCGGTGAAATGTGTCGACAACACACCTCACCCCTCAACACTTCCGCTCCCAATTTCAGAAACACTGCCGCGGCAGATTGTTGTCATGGTTAGTCAGTGAGTGGTGTGACGAAACCCTCCCTTCCACCCACCTGCCCACCCATCACCGCCTGCCCCCGCCCCCACCGAGTGCCGTCTGACTGTTGAACGGGCCTCCTGAAGTGGCTGATTCAGACGTCGTGTGTGGTTTGAGCCCACGCACTTGTGTCCACATAAACTGCATTTACATTCGCCCAGCAAGTGGTCAATTGTGCATTTCCTTCGCAGCTCATCTTATTCTCTAGTAGCAACGATTGGTTATTGTAATTCAAATTTCAATTAACGCGCTATAAGAAAGCCACTCAAATTCGAGTATCATGTGTAACACGTAAACTTTAGCATTGATTCGTCTGTTGTTTAAATAGTGATTTTAAATTATCGCCGTCTACAAATTGTCCACGGAACGAGCCATACGCATGTTCGATGCTGTTTGGAATGCTCGAAAGGGATTTAACGTATACGTTGTCAAATGTTCCGAATCGTTCCCATTTCATTGACTTTTCGGGATGTCTATCCATTTAATAATAAAGCTGCTCCATTTTCAAACACATGGCACCCATTCTCCAGCGCCAATTTTGTCAAATTTTCTGCAACTGTAATTCTTTTTTTACCAGAAACGAACATATTACGTAAATCAGTAAAGTAAGCTTTAATGTTTAAGCTTTTTTACGTATCCTTAACGGGTAAAAGTATTGTAACTAGCCAAATTTGACTTCATTTTAATAAAACGAGCATCCAGCACCTCGTATATTTGCAGGTAACCAAATTGGCACGTATATATTTGCTAAAATTGCTATTATTTACAAAATCAGGGCTTAAGCAGTCTTGCGCAGGGCGGTTAATTTTGCCATGCTTATGGAAGCTCGGTTCATGGTCAGGAGTACTACTTTACCGCCAATCCTAATTGGTGGCATCAAAACGGAGCCTCCCAGCACCACAGTTCTTCATTCGCAACCCCTTAAAATACAACGCAACCCGAGAGACGCCCTTGGCACAATTTGGTCTCACGGTAGGTAAACCCCAAGTTGAATGTGTGAGTAATCATCCAACGACCAATGAGATTAACGCACAAATGTCGTTTAAATATCGATTTCCACCACGAGTAGGTGTCCTGATTTGCGGCGTGGCTATCAATCGCCAAACCCCAGATATCAACCACGATGAAAAAAGTGGAGACAATCCAGTTGGTAGCCTTACGCTTCTATCGATTTCTGATGTCGTGATCGATTAGCAGAACCTGTCCAGGCCAGCGTGTTCTGGCCGGGACCAGGAGTTAGTGCCCACAACCAGTGTCCTTTTTGTCCTTAACCTTTCTGAAAATTAGTTTTAGACGATGTAGCGGGAACCGGAAGTCCTGAGCGTGTGACGCCGCGCTATATCTAGACACGTAGTTCCCACAAGGCTTTCATTCAAAACCGGTTTCATTCAGTAATATTTAGGGCCTTCACAAGAACCCACAACTGGTTTGTTTAAATCAGTTCTCTGAGGAAACGACAGAAATTTACAATCAATGACCACATTTACCACCTGCTTCCACGCAATCGGTCTCAGGTTGTAGGCTGCACCGACTTCTACTGCTACCCGGAAATAATCGCAGCTCCAAGATGTTGTGTCCGGGTTTCAGAATACGTCATGGAATGTGAAAACCTGGAGCGGACTGCGGACATTCCACGACAGTCTGATGATTCTATCAGGTGAGAATTCGTAACCTGATGAATTTCGCAGCCAATGAAAATTGACGTTTTTTCGACGGTGATTTGCCAGGTGGCAATTCAAAAAAGACGTGTTTTGTTTGAAAGTGGAAAGATGCCTTGATTGTGGGGCTAAACGAAAAATCACAACAGCGTTGAACAAAGGAAAAACCACAGACTCTTAAAATTAATTGGTATTTTTATAAAATATATTTTAAAACAATTTTCATTTGTCGATGCTGCCACTCGTGAAGTCAAATAGTGAACATGCGAAAATTTCAACATGTCATCACTTGGCTGCCGTAACGACGTACAAGTAAATATTTGACCCAGTCGTAAATGTAGAAAAGTGATTGGGATTTAAAAAAATTACACACTGACCCATAGGAAACCTCCATCTTAGACAAATGTTACGGCACTAAGCAGCGTCATTATCGGTAAAGTCGTTGTTGCGAAGGAAACAGGCAGAACACACAACTGACCCCAGCATCCCGTATCACCTGTGTCTGTGAAGGAGGAGGAAGAGGAGGAGGCAGCAGTGGGAAGGAGACAAGTACGTGTGTGTGTGTGCATGAACACCACTTGCTGGGTGAATGCGAATGCAGTTTATGTGGACGCAAGTGCGTGGGCTCAAACCACACACGACGTCTGAATCAGCCACTTCAGGAGGCCCGTTCAACAGTCAGACGGCACTCGG